AAACGTCAAATATTCAGATAAAAATATTACGGATTAGGCCTTCTCATCACTTGGGATATGGGTTGTTACAAATCTTTGGGTACTTTGGGCGCATTGCAGAAACTTAGAGCGCACTTCGTGACTTTTGACACTTTCGGGGAAAAAAATTGGAACATTCGGGGGATATCGTGCGTCGCCCGATATGCGCTTGAGGTAAGATTTTCGGGTTTTAGCCCGAAACTCAATGTGCGCCCGAAGCTAATGCTGGCTGGGCACTTCATCAGCAACAGGTGGATAGGAAAAGATTGATATCAAAAAGGATAAAGTAGTGTGAGCTAATATACAATCTGAAGACAAAGGTTAGTGCAAATTTACAAGCCGTAGATGTCAAGGAGTGAATAAATCTGCGCCGTTGTGACCGACTTTCAACCATGTCATCAAGAGTCCTCAACCACTAATTCTTATCATTTTGGGGACCCCGACCAGACAGTCTACATCTCACACGCCTTAGACCGACGGTAAGAGACTTGATCGACTGTCACCACGTCTTGGCCTGGGCACCCTGAACCCTCTTCCAACCTAATCCAACTTCCTCTCGCACGGAACATCGATGTAAGCAGTGGCTCGGCACCAACAATACACATCTAAGGTATTTCAGTTGACTAAGGTTCACAACCTCATCATTCGACTTGCCTGTCTTCCCTAATATTCTTCACCTGACCTCAGCATTGCTCATATAGTGATTCCACCTAACGTGAACAGTTCTGTGAAGACACTTGTGATCAAAACTCTACAGACGCTTAATATCTACTTTCAACGGCCGTGTCTCACAAGCCGTACAACAATACACAACGGACTGCAGTACAGTATGCTCGTCCTTCGATAGATGGTCGGATATTTAGCCGACGTCACAGCTGACGCGAGTTGGCAAATGCCAAACTAACCTTCTGTGTCCGAGCTGAGATTTCGTCAGCAATCATCCCGTTCGAGCTGATGCAACTCCCCTATTAATTGAAGTGGTCGACATATCTCACAGCTTTACTCCCTATCATTAAACTAGGAGTGGTTGTGGACTAGTCTTGGGGCATCATCTTATGTTTAACAGGTACAAGCGAAACGCATGTCAAACACACTCAGACTCCTCAACGCGTTCAGACAACCCTCTATTTTGTCAGCCTCTTCACCTAGTAGGACAAAATCGTCTGCATACTCCAAGCCAACCAGATGGCCATGGAAGAGATTAATCCCGTGAAGTCAGACGTCCCTAAGGTTATGTCCATTAGTACGTCTATAACTAGGTTGAACAGAAACGGTGACAGTGGACATCCCTGAGGGACACGACATGATTTATCCCTAAGCCCTTACATAGCTGCGTAAGTTCGAATAGAGAATTTTGATTGGCGTTATATACTTTCTCGGTACTCCCTTCACAACACCTCACGGTCAACAAAGTCAAAAACCGCTTTCAGATTAACAAATATGGTAAGTGTCAGCTGCTGGAAAGTATGCCTATTCCAAAACCTGTAGGAGGGTGAAAATATGACCGATACACCCTTGTCCAGCTCTGTCTAAAACCTGCCTAGTTTTCTCGAGTCTGCTGTTCTCTAGCTTTAGTTAGGCGTCAGGTAACTATGGATCCTAGGGTCTTGGACACAATATCAGTCAAACTAGCTCCCCTATTGTTATCACAGGAAGACTTCTCTCCCTTCTAATAGACTGGGATGATCAGAGAAGTGGATGGGTCTGACGGTAGTACCTCTCATTCCCTTACACTACCTAGCACCTCAGTTACTTAAATCAATAGGTTTCTACCTCCATCCTTGGAAACTTCGAGTGGAAAACTGTCGTGCTACTTTGTATCGTCCTAGGTGCAATACAGCCTTCTCAACTTCAAGGAGAGTTGGAGGACTAACATCTACGTCTCATTCAGGTTCAAGCTGGATATTGGCCAACTGAAGCGTTGCTTACGGCCAGTTGAACTGTGCTCCAAAGTGTTCTGCCCAAAGTTCTAGCCGTCTATCCTATGAGGTTATCAGAGTCGCATTCTTTTTGGTGACGGTTTCACTCCCCATCGCCTTCCTGCAGGTATCTTTAATAAGCGTAAATAGTTGAGTTTTACTCAACGTTGATACCTTCTCCATCTTTCTCGCTTTCCCCATCCACCACTGCTCGCGATCATTACGAAGACTCTTAATGTCTATTAGGGTCAACTGTACTATACTGCAGTTCGCTGTTCCACTCTATAGCTGCTAAACGCCCATCAAAAGCAAATAACAAGAGGAGGCTTCGGGTTGTGCCACTGTTGTCTTTGAAAAAGGAGCAGTGTGCTGTAGCGCATTCATGTCAGTAACATAGAACTCAGGCGAAAAGGAACTTCAGATAACAGGATTGTGAACCTCCACCGATTCGAATGGCTGAGACATTTAACATGAATGGAGAGTATGGGGATCCTTGACGGGCACTGCTCGATGCACGCAACTCACCGTAGGCCCTAACACCTTCATGGGTATTTGTGTATAGATCATTCAAAAGATTGCTGTACTTACCTGACAGATGTTTTTTTTAGGAAACGCCCCCATAAGACCTTTTTGTTGACGGATTGGAATCCCATCTTGAAGTCGAGAAATGCAACTATTGTTGGGCGTCACTGAGTGTGCCTGCGTTCCAGAATCTGACCATGCCTGGAGCCTGTCTTATTTTTCTTATGCTTGCTGTTCTCGATTTGCACTCAGATATCTAATGATTATAAAATCTAGAATCTTAGACACTATGTTCGTCAGTCTGATTCCTCTTTTGTTATCACAGCAGGACTTCTTGCGTTTCTTGAAGACTGTGACAATCAGTGTTTGAGACCAGTCAGGGGGATCGTATCTAACTCCCACACACTACTTAGAACTTAAGTTCACTAAAAATACTTGACCCGCCTTTTCAAAATCTGGAACAAGTTTGTCTGGTCCTTCTACTGTTCCTCATTTCAGGTTACCTATAGCTTTCTCGACTTCTGTAAGTGTTGGGAGTCCTACTTGATGCTCCGTTCAGGCTTTCATTAGATGGCGGATAGTGAGGTAGTAACTGGAGGTCAGTTGAGCTGTTCCTCAAAGGGTTCCACCCATCGTTGCAGTCTCCCCTGCAGGCGAATCGCAAGCCCATCTTTCTGTTCCGTCGTCCTATTAACCATCGACCTTTCGCTCCAGTTTTCTTGATAATTCTAAACTACTATCACCGCTACCTTTTCTATCCCTTTAGCCTTCTCTGTCTACGACTGTTTGTGGTCATTGCGTAAACTTTGTCGGCCTACGTTTGAGTTGTATTCGCTTCTCGTTGTACTCGGAGCCTGCAGGAGTGCGTTTGTGTGCATCCCTTTATTCGGAAAAAGCTACTGAGATCCACTGGTCCTTTTTAACCACTCTCTGAGAGTCTGCTACGGTCGTCATCGCTGTTTCTACACCACACAAGAGGTGGCGCCAAACTCCTTCTGGATAAATTATATTATTCAGTTGCAATAACTGTGAAGCCAGTTTCTCACTAAAAGCGGCCTCACTGTCCAGCGTCACTCGCAGTGGTCTTCTTGCTTAAGCTTTTCTACGTCCATTGAGATGCAGAAATATACGTGCTCAAACTAACGGGTGGCTGCCGTCTAGTCAAGTGCCACAGAAGTAGTGGCAGTCTCCCACCGACCATCTCCAGCGATGGTTGATAGTAATGCTGTCTATGTGTCTACCTCTGAGTTGAGATCAGTAGACGCTACGTCAGACAGTGTCTCTCTTTATATCTGAAGTTTGTACCGACCAGAATGAATGTTTATCTGAGCATAGTTGTAGTAGGCGATCGCCGTTATTTGTTCGTTCTGCTGAAATTGAAAGTACCACCTAAGTGCCTTTCTGCCCATACGTGCATTGAAATGACCTTCAATAAATATTGCATCTGAGCATTTTGCTTTCAGTATTCGGCTGATCAGTTTTCGGTAAATTTCCTTCGTTCCATCCGAACTGCAGTCAGTGGGTGCGTAAGGAGAGGTTATAAAGAAGCATCGGGGAGTTTCACTATTCTCTGTGGTCCCCAGTGTACCTTTCAGTCGAACAAGGACTTGAAGACTGACAGGGTTGTGATGGCACTTCATGGGTACCTATACCATGCAAAGCTGTTTTTTAGGGTTTGTGAAAAAAGGGTTAGCGCGTGAGATCCAAGTCCAAGCGACATCTACAATTCGCACTATAACGGTAACTGCTTTTTGTCTAACTATTATCCAACAGACGTTTCTGGTATTGTAAGACCTCGAATGAAAAAGTGTTCCACCTGGTTAGCTCGTTGAGTCATTGTGATATACAAACCCGACCACTTCACGGTAGCAGTTATCTGTCGGGTTTATATAAATGTAAATTAATGTAAATTTTGGAACACTAATAAACAAAAGCACTTATACAAATATGTCACGGAGATAAAATAATTAGGACCTAGCCTTCAGGTTACCAATAAGCAGTCAAGAATAAATTACGGGTTAGAAGGCTATCAATAAATTTCTATCGGTAGATGTAATGTTGCAGTTCCACCGACCACAAACGCTCTGAGTGGTTTTACCCGTTTAGCACTATATATTTTAACCGCTAAATAGCCTTATAACCTTTTCATTTCATTTTTAGGTAGATTTTTATCTACTCAGGAGTCTTCAACTTAGGTTTTTGTAAGCTGTTGCTGTCTGCTTTCATTGTACTGGCCTGTGGTTTTCTTTGTTATCATACTGAGTAGCTTATTGTTTCAATTTTCCTTGTCAAGATGGGTCTACCGGTTATTATGTTCGTTTTTTATGAATATCCGGTAACTTTGTTTTTGGTGTGGTTTCGTTCTTGTGGTGCACTTACCTATGGGAAACTTACTTGAGTGTTCGCCAAAGAAGGAAAATCGTCGAAACAACAAAGGTTCCCACCAAACTTGCAAGTGTAATGGATAATGAAAGCTTTCAAAAGTCGCGTCTTTACGCTATTGATCGGTCAAACTTCTCTTTAGTCAGTGGGTTATACCATATGGTTGAGCTATCAGCGATTTTATATTTTTCTGTTGTACCATGGTTGTGGTACACAGTTGTTCACCATGGTATTATCCTAAACGCCTATGTACAAGAAAAGATTGGCATTGATTTGGGTATTGGGGCAGATAGTGAGATTAAGTGCTCCATCATGTTTTTCCTCTACACAGCTCTACTCGTATTTGTGGATTCATTCCCATGGACAACCTATAGCACGTTTGTAATTGAAGCACGTCATGGTTTTAATAAACAGACGTTTGGTTTCTTCATTAAGGACCAAATAAAGTCGCTGTTTATTTCAATGCTCATTGGTATTCCAGTGTTATCGTGTTTGATATGGATTATCAAAGCTGGTGGACAATATTTCTACGTATATGCTTTTTTGTTCACTGTCTTAGTCACAGTATTTTTGATGTTTGTGTATCCAGAATTTATTGCTCCTCTGTTCGATCGATATGAGCCTTTACCCGATGGGTCTTTAAAGACAAAGATTGAAGCATTAGCTGCATCTATCGAGTTCCCTTTGAAAAAGCTTTTAGTCGTTGAAGGATCTAGACGTTCAGCTCATAGCAATGCTTATTTTTATGGATTTGGTAAGAACAAAAGAATCGTTATCTTTGATACACTAATTCGTGGCTTCAAATTCCCGAATAAAAGTGAATCTGTAAATGAGCAAGATAATAAGGAGGATTCTTTTCAACGTGGTTGCTCAGTTGATGAGGAAATACTATCGGTTATTGCCCATGAATTAGGACATTGGAAACTTGGTCATACAATTTATAATCTGTTCATCGGAAAGGCGAATCTTTGATGATGTTTGTAATATTCAGTCTTCTGATGGATATGGATGGGTTATTCGTTTCCTTCGGTTTCAAAAGTAATGCTACACCAATCATGTTGAGATTATTCATTATCTTCCAATTTATATTTTCTCCTTATAACACAGTTGTCGACTTTTTGATGACAGTTTTATCCAGAAAATTCGAATTTCAGGCCGATGCTTTTGCAGTTAAGTTGGGTTATGGACAATATTTGAAGTCTTCTTTAATTGTTCTTCTGAAAGATAACTTATCGTTTCCTGTATGTGATTGGCTGTACTCAATGTTTAATCATTCTCACCCACCACTTCTCGAGCGCCTCAGTGCGATTGACTCTTATAAATCTGAATAAAAATATTCTTTAGCCAGCTTTTTCGTCTTGTCTATGTGTGGTGGGATTTATGTTACCTTTAGGCTCTGTTATTTATTTGCCGAAAATTTACCCAATGTATATCTGTTTATAAGATGTATTTTTTTTCCCAATAAATCACTTCGGAAATTAACTTTTGCATACGTCTTTTCAAAAACAACCCAATTTATGAGTGTGATTGAAAAAGTGGTTTTTTGTTATCAGTTTGCGTGGTTTGAGAAACCATGTACATGTAGTGCAAACAGTTTATTCACAGCAATGTACGCATTAGGTTTATTTTAGTCTCATATATTAGGAAGTCAACATACAATTTTGAACCACATGAACTTGAGACTATAGCAATAGTTATTTATTTCAAATATATAAGTAATATTAGGAATTCCTAAATAAGAACTTCATTGGCAAAATTGGACGAACGTAAAACATGTGTAAAATGGTAAGAGTGTCGAACTCTGAAATCTGACTTCAAATTTATATACGTGCCCAGATACACTATCGCCTGTTTACTATTCCCGACACTGCTGGTCCACCTGCGTCAGACAGTGTGAATATCAGGAGTTAACGCGAAGTATATGTCAGGATGCTGTATTGGTCAACGAGCGAGCGAAAAGTTTTTCATTAGTACAACTAAACAAAAATATTCAATGAGTTGTTACATATATCAACAAAATACAGTGAAATAAAATGCTATATATGTCCCTCCCAGAATACAGGTATAAGAAGGGATATCTGTGTTCGATATAAAATGTTATCTGATGAAGATAAATTCATTTTGAAGATATTTGAAACGTAGGAGAAATGTTAAGGATATCTATTATCAGGATGAAAACTGATTGAAAGAGTGTTTATATCGAAATGAAGTGTATGATAGTCGAAACACTAAAATAACTTTATCAAAGTAATAATATATATCCGGAGATAAAAAAAACAACAACCAAGATCGTAATACCCACAACATTGTTAAGAAGTACAAGTTTCGGAAGTCCATGGTGCCAGGGAAAAAGGAATTTCTTTTTGTGCATTCGGAAAAGTCTGACAGAATCATGTGGTCATGTTTTCAACAAGGTAATGAACAAAAAGCGGTAATAATTTTACTGGGGAATTGATTTTATTGAAAGTAAATTGTCTGAAAGTAACGTCGTGGCAAACGGATTCTTCTTCCTGATCTTGTGGTTCTGCTACGGTCGCTAGCATTGGGTGATTCTGATGCCGTTGTTTCCGTTTTGACGGTGGTTCCCGGTGTTTCTGGTTGCTTCACTGTGGGTTTAGGCCTGGTATCCATGGCGTCTGGTTCCACAAACGCTGGTTTGATTCCGTCAGTGCTGACCGTTTCTCGTCTGCCGCAGCGTCCGACCGTGACAACTTTGTCTGATTTACTAATTACCTTGAAAGGTCCTTCGTATGGGGTTGTAAGGGTTGTCGTACACCGTCGTGTCAGGTAAAAACATATGTGCAGTTTGAGATGCACTGAGGTGCGTACACTTGGTTGTCTCGGTATCGTGGAGGCTGAGGTCGTAGTGTGCTCATGTGTCGCCGTAGTTGTTGTACATAGTTAGTCAAGTCCGGCAAGAAGTCTATTGCTGGGTTAAAATACTCTCCTGGCAATCGTAAAGTAGTTCCATAGACTAACTCAGCAGTACAGCAGCCAATGTCCTTCTTGACACTCGAAAGTATACCAAGGAGTACTAGTGGTAATTTGTCACTCCACTTGTCATTAGTGTTGCTTTTGATTCTAGATGGAACCTTACAACAACATCATTGGATGCAGGATGGTACGCAGTGGTTCTTATGCGCTTGATCACTTGATTATTGAGATAGACTACTCTCGAACTGCGTGCTTCTATATGTGGTGATGACACCTGGGACACTGAAGTGAGAAATCCAGTGTAGGATGATATTTCTCGCTACTGTTTCGGCAGATATATCCTGTAGAGGTGTTGTCACTGGCCATCTCGTGAATCTGTCTACACATGTTAAAATGTAGCTAAAAGCATTTGACGGGGTAGTGGTCCAACGATGTCAACGTGTATATGGTCAAATCTGCCATCCGGTGCGGGAAATCTTCCGGTAGGTGAAAAAATATGTCTCTGCACTTCCGATCGGTGGCACACTAAACAAGCTTTGGAGCATTGTGGAAGATCTCGATTCATCTTTGGCCAGACGTATCGGTCAGTAATTAACTTCACTGTAGCTCGAGTACCAGGATGTGAAATGCCATGCATCTTAGAGAAGACTAATCGTCTCATCGACAAAGACACAAACGGACGAGGTTTGCTCTTGGATGCATCACAGATGATGGATAGAGAGTCATCAAGCACCACTTCTTCAAGACGTAATGAGATGTTTACATTGCCTTTCAAGTGTTTTAAGTCCTCATCCGTCGCCTGCAACTTTGCTATTTCTACTAGGTCATTATGGTCACGTCCTAAGACGTTTAAGTACATACGAGACAGCATCAGCTGCCTCATTTTTGTTGCCTTTGACATACCTTATATCTGAGGTGAATTGCGAAATAAATTCTAAATGTCGAATTTCTGTCTGCGAGTAGTTATCATGTATTGCGTCAATTGCTTTTGTGAGTGGCTTATGGTCGGTACTATACCATACTATACCATACTATAAATGCGTACTCTTCAAGCATATGTTTGAAATGCTTGATAGCGAAGTAAATCGCCAGTAACTCTCTAACGAATGTACTGTATCGCGATTGAGAAGCACTAAGTGGTTTCGAGAAGAAGGATAGTGGTTCGCACTGACCGAAGCGTCTGTCATGATTGCTAGTGCTGCTTCTGAATCATGACGAGAGAAAAGAGTTTCAGAATCATAGTCACTGGGTGTGTAAACATAGATCAAAAGTAGATGACACGTTTCATTACCTTGTTTAGTTCTTATTGCATCATGTAGTCGAACATCGTACAGCTGACTTTCAGCTATTCAGCACAATGCTCTCTCTCTCTACCTTAGAAACTAGTGTCATACTTAAACTTGTAAGATCCCCAGAACTAGCCAAGGGGTCTCTAGGAACTCAAGGATTGCATTTTGCAAGTTGACCATATTTGCTGGGTGAGTTTGAGTTAATAGCGACACTTTGGTCTTATTTGTATTTCTTACAAACAACACATCTATGACTCGAGATGCCAGAGCTTCGGTTGGTGGGGCTTTTTTGGCTTTGGAGAAAGATTCCAACATTTAAAGTTCCCATATGTATTTTGGAGTAGCTTTACTGGAGAACACGGGTGTTGTTGCGCGAAACCAAGTGGTTATCATTGGTTACAAAACTGGAAGATGACATGGAATTATTAACAACGGAGTGCGGGAAAAGATTAGAATGTTGGTTGTGAAGTAAAAGAACTCAAGTGCTGAGTGAGGTATGAGGGTGGTTGGCAGTTCTTGGCTATCCACACTTTGTCAGGTAACTTTTACTACAGGTATATGAAAAAAAGTAATTAATAACCGTTGTAGTTACACGGGTTCATGATAGGGGAGGTTAAAGATAACTATCTTGAGGTCAGCCGTACCTTGTCTTCTTAGGAGTTCCCGATTTGGGTTTGATTGTCACATCGGATACTGATGTTGACTAACTTACTAAACTGGGAAGACTGATATCACCGCCACCGGAAGTCTATGAAGCAGGGAGGAGTGTGTTATTTTCAGGGTCGATCATTTACAACCTGTTCTCCCGATAACAGATGGCGTCATCAACATGAAACACTGTTTTTCTGTGGCTAACGCTTTACTTTCGCCAGAGTTCGTACGGACTGCAGTATGATTTTATCATCGGACTCTCCATAGCGCAAACTATTTATACCGTAGTGTTAACTATTACTTTCACCACTATCCAAGTGAGCTTTCTGGTGGTGTAAAATATTGAGGAGTAACCGTTTCAACCAGAGTAGCTCATTGAATTGTTGTTGACCACTACACCAAGGTAGTAGCCTTTGGTTAGGTTTTGTTGGATTTGTGGTGTTTGCACTTTGCATGACTACTCAGAGATTGATCTAATACCTCAGTATTGTCTATTCAGCCTACCGTATGCACTCAGACAATGCAGTGGTGTCATTAGAGGCTCTAATGAAATTGAATCTTCGTAGCGATAATAAAGAATATCTAGGAGGGATCCTACACCGTTGCAGTGCGAGATTTCGCTTTACGACTCATTCACATCTGTGATCCAATCGGCAGAAAGTGGCGTGGTGATCGAAGTACAAATGGCTTGTTTGACATCTGCCTACTTACGCCACCTATAGTACTGATAAGATATTTGAATGACAACATGAGTCTAAGCGTTCTGTTCAGCGAAGTCTTAATGTGACATGAATACAGTTGTTAAAAGTGGTGTCTATTCAAGAGTTATAGGTATCTGATAACTGCTTTCATAGTATCATTGGCGTACCATTGAATAACTGTGATGGAGCGTCATGTAATGGTAGGTGGAGGTAAGTCATTTGATGAGGTTTGTAATGATCATCAACTGAGGTTATGCATGAATAGCCACTGAGTTAATCGTTTGAGTAGCCGTAGAATGAAACCCACATCAGGGTAATTAAACCGGAATGTGGAATGAATTCATGAGTTCTTCGACTTTTGTTCTCACCCTTGTCAACTCAGTATCAATCATAGTGG